CGGAGCACGACACTCCGTAGATTTGTGTCCGGTTTTCCCACAGTTGTAGCAGTTTCCACTGAACCGCTTCTTGCTTGGGTTGTATTTCGGACCAGAAGCCTTCTTCCTCTTTTTGTTAGCTTCAACAATATTTGCTCCCATTATTGTTGAATTTCCACGGCCTCTCCTTTCAGCAGCTTTATTGTCCTCTTCGATTCTCAACCGAACAATGAGATCTTCAAGGGACATTTCCTTTCGTTTGTGTTTCAAATAATTTTTGAAGTCCTTCCACAACGGAGGCAACTTCTCAATCATTGCTGCTACTTGGAATGCTTCGTTGATGACAAGACCTTCAGCAAGTAGATCATGAATAATCACTTGCAATTCCTGGACTTGGGTAATAACAGACTTGCTATCTACCATTTTGTAGTCCAAAAATTTTGCGGCAACGAATTTCTTCATCCCGGCATCTTCAGTTTTATATTTCTTTTCAAGCGCATTCCACAATTCTTTTGACGTCTCCACGCTACTGTATACATTATACAGATTATCATCCAGTCCGCTAAGAATATAATTCTTGCATAAAAAATCAGAATGCTTCCACGCTTCAATCACGATAAAGCGTTCATTCTCTGGAGTTTTATCTGGCAGATCAGGAACATCTTCCTTGATGAACTTCTGTAGACATAACGTAGTTAAGTAGAAGAACATCTTCTGCTGCCAGCGCTTGAAATCAATCCCGAAAAATTTTCCGGGTTTTTCTGCCGGTGCCAACGCCGGTGTTCGGCTTGTCGATGCGTTGGCAGTCACCATCGGAACAGCTTGGTTTTCGCTTTCAGTCGTCATTTTTTCTGTAAAAGAATGACACAAACAAACGTTTAATAAACGTTTTCAAACTGGAGTAAAAATCACGTAGATTTTAATCTCCAACAAAACGCCACGAAGGCTTTACTCTCCAAAACGGGAGTACACAAAACCACAAAGGTTTTAGTTTGCAGAATAATAAGAATAACACAAATACAGAAATAAATATTAAATTCCTTAAGCTTGTTAGTCCCGCCAATATTGCTGTATTTGTAAATAATAATTCTGCAAAATATAAGTTATCGTAATGAAACAGTAATTAATTCGAGCCCACTGAATTCACAGTGTTTCCTTAAGGAATTTAATCCCCTCCTAGTACCCAAGGTTATGGATTATTTCCTCCCAGGATAGAACGAATCACACACTGGTGTAGCGGTACTTCAAACCCCAGTGTTTCAGCGAACACAAAGTTCGGTAGCAAATCACACTTACAGTTGCTTTGTTTGAAGTTAAAACAATGCAGAACAAAGGAGTAGAAACTCAGAAAATCGTATGGAAATGCTGAGAGGAAGGAGTGCAATGTATAGCCAAAGTTGAGCGTTTTTAGTTTTTGTGTTGTGTGTTTTTCTTCAACAGCTGCTGCACATATTTATAGCAGTCAGCTTTGAAGATGAATGACCCTCCACCCTCCATTGTGGAGCATGCACTAGCTTATTTGTGGAGCAAGCACTTGGCCATGGTGGGAAGAGCACTAGGCGGCTGCTATTGCAGCTGGTGGTCAATTCACGGATTGGAACATATCTGTTACAAATGCGGATAATCTTACGTTAATATTTACTATTAACAAATAAATTTGGTCCAAAAAATTAATCAATCAATCGATCATTTGACCAAATCCAAATCCAAATCCGAATCCGAAGCCGAAGCCGAAGCCGAGCCGAGCGAGCGACGACGACGACGGCGCGAGGCTTGCTTTCTTCTTAACTCTTTAAGAGTTACAAGAAGAGCAATTATATATATACCCACCAAAAATCTTTTCCTCTTCCAATATGGGACAATGTCTCATTGTCAAGAGGGGAAAACTTAAAATTTTACTCAAAAATTTATTTTTCCCTCCATTTCCCATTCACCCTCATTTTAAGACTATTTCATCTTAAATAACAAAAACCTCAACAATCCCCCACATGAATGGGGAATGGCTATATCACGGAAGTATGCATGAAAAAACTGTGTGATTTGCAAGCAAGGATTAATCGCATCTGGATAAGTAGGTTTCCCTTTGAACTTTCCGTAGTGAACTTATGTCGGATATACTCGGCCAATCGGTAGATTTGATATCTTTGAACCGTCGAACTTTGGTGTATACCTAGACAACAATAAGTCACACAACCGACCCTTAACCGTCTTTGGCTCTCATTGTTGTGTTCGTTTCAGCCATAAACACCGCCTGGTTTCATAAGTGCGTAGAGAACTGGCCTTACAAAGTTCTCCTTGAAGCGGCTAACACTTCACACTTGCATAGGTGATTCCTAAACGTGTCATCCTGTAGATACACTATTTTGTAAGAACAAAGTATAACATATAATATAATGGCATAGCTATTAGTGCACACGTTGTCTGCTTGTGTTCACTTTGCTCAACAAAGTTTTGTTTGAGAAAGTTGTGGACTTGTGGTCCACTATCTCAAATTTGTGTTCAAACTTTCTGTTTCATTTTATTTTTTTTTAATTTATAAATATAATATAAATATAACCAAAAAATGGGCCCCCCATAAATGTGGAGCCTAAAGCAATTACTTTACCCGCTTTATGGACGGGCCGCCCCTGCATATAATGTAAAAGAAGTTTTCGAAATAATTTGGACGTTTGTGAAAATGATAACCAAACACGATCTTTTAGTCATAGAGGATCATCAAAGAGTTTCATTTCATTTGGATGAGTCATATGTAAAAGACAAGAGTAGGTTGCTCTAGTGGTATGCACCCTCCACTTCCAACCAAGAGGTTGTGAGTTCGAGTCACCCCAAGAGCAAGGTGGGGAGTTCTTGGAGGGAGGGAGCCGATGGCCTATCGGAAATAGCCTCTCTACCCCAGGGTAGAGGTAAGGTCTGCGTACACACTACCCTTTCCAGACCCCACTAGTGAGATTATACCGGGTTATTGTTGTTGTTGTTTGTTGAGTCAAATGTATATGTTTTGGTTATATTGGAGGTTGAGAGATTCTCTACCAGCAATATTTTAAAATGCAATGGCATGTTTATGTATGTCATGTAAGTTAGAATTCAAAGAAGATTCTATAGATACTCATATTAAGCAATTATAGCTAGATTCCTTTCATTTGATAGTAGAAATCGTTGTAAGCGAATCATTTCACTAGACCCAAGTGAGCCACATTTGATCTAAAAATACCTAAGCTTTTGATTATCTCAATTTTACTCGACATTTATTATTTTATTATTTCCTTATCAGCTTTGTCATGATAAGAAGAAATAATTATATAATCAAGATCATGAGACACAAGTTGAAGAACTTTTATTGGATATTTTGAAGTTGACAAGGAAGTTGTTGTCTTTAACGATTGAAGTTCAAGAACTAAATGTAGTTCAAGAACAGGTTAATCAACAAGTTCCAAAACCAAATTGAATAACAACCAAATCCAACACAAGGTGAGCAAGTTGTACAAGAACCTCTTAGAAGGTCTACATGAGAATGTCATGTACCAACAAGATTAAATCTAATGGTACAAGATGATGTATCAAATGAGGTTGATCATAATGATGATGACCCTAAGACCTATGAAGAGGCGACACAAGGTTCTTGCAATGAAATATGGCAAATGGATGTGAAAATAACTTTCCTTAATGGTGAGCTAGAAGAGAATGTGTACATGACACAACCTGAAGGTTTCATATCTTCGCCTGATCATAATAAAATTTGCAAGGTATAAAGATCCATTTATGGACTAAAGCAAGCTTCTCGAAGTTGGAATATTCGCTTTAACAAGACAATTGAAAAGTTCAATTTTGTTAGATGCGAAGAAGAACCTTGTGTGTACAAAAAGGTTAGTGGGAGCATAATTATATTCTTAGTACTGTGTGTTGATGATATATTTCTGTCACTATTGACCAAAGACGAAACTGTTCTTCTACGTTTGTGAAATTATTGTTATTCTTAATCATTTATTGCTATTTAGAGTCGTAATCACATGTAAATACACGATTAGAATTTAAATTGTTGGGCTCGTGCTATGCACGGGCAATACTCATCTAGTTTTAAGAGAAAATAAGAGAAAAATGTCTAAAGGTTGTGACCTCTTCTTTTTGAACTTATACTGTTACTACTATATTGAAAGGAACAGACCCACGTGTGATAAAATAAAAAGACCAAAAAAAAAAAAAAAACTTGGCTTATGATATAATTCATTACATATCAAAGTATTAACTTAGAATGCATGAACCATGAATCTCCAAATTTTATTTTTCCTAACGACATAAGAAAAATATATATAACTAAGTACGTATTTATTCAATCAAAAAAATCTTCTCAGTTTTAATTATACCTACAGTTATGAGTACATGTAATCTTAATTTTAAGCAAGTTTGATCGCAAATGATATTTCATTATAAATATAATTTTATTTGGACTTGCTCTAGCTATCTTCTTTTATTTTATCCTTTTTGTGCTACTTGCACCTTTTACTTGAAGGGGCGTAAGCACGTAATTTTTGACCCGCGCAACTTTTAAAAGTAGTATTTCAAAAATATTTATTTATTTTTATTTTTAATAGGATTTCAGTCAACTTTTAGTTTTAATTGTAAAACATAAGTTTGAAAACACAAAAATAGTTTTATAACGTTTTTTTAGCTTATTAGTATTTTATAATATTTATAACATTTAAAAAAAATACCAAAAATATTTTTATTTTAACATATAGTTCATTTTAATAATGTATTCTTATTAACTAAGATTAGTTAGTATATTTTGGTAGTATTTTTATTTTTATTTTTATTCAATGAGAAAGAATTGAATTTGGGCCAATTGGGAGTTCATTTTCGGATTTTAGTGGCCCAGCAAGATAAATGCCCATTCTTCCCAATCCCTTTTAACCCAAATCCTTTTCCCACCCATCAAACCCCTCCCTTAATCATAACCATTGATTTACTTCCATCCAAGGGACAATACTCACTCTCCACTATCATATAAAAACCAAATTAACACCCAAAAACCCTAAGCTAATTCCCCCACTTCAGACACAAAAAAGGAACGGGCAGCCACATAAACACACAAATAGTAGAGAGGAACGAGAAGAAGAGGATTGTTTTTGGACAGAAATTTTGAGGGAAAAGTTTGAGAGAAGAAAGGTCCTTCTGATTCTTCCATCTTCAATTTTTTTTTATTTTTATTTTAAATCCAAAACACACACACACACACAAAAAGAAGATTTATGTTCGGATTTTGGTTTTTAATATGGGGTTTAGTTGAGTCGAGGTGTCGATTCGATCGTGACTGGTTGAGGTCCGTTCGTGGTTCGGTTCATGGTTCTGTTCAAATTTGACTACCATTCGAATTCCTGTACTCCGTTGTTGATTCGATTTTCGTTCCTGAATTCGATTGTAGTCGCACCATTGAACTGAATACACTGAAAAAAGCTTCATCTCAGGTTCATCCCTTTTCTCTTTTACTACCTCACGTTGGTGTTGATTTGAATATGATAAGGGTCGTGGTTAATTTGCTTGGTCTTTAATATTCCGATGAATAATTGTCACTCGGATCTGTTTGGATTTAAGTCAAAAGGATTAGAGTTTGGTCGATTTCATACTTGATAGTTAAGCTTAAGTGACTGATTCTTTGCTTGCAATTCCTAGAGTTTTGTTCGTTTTCCTGAAGTTGAGCATCTGCTCGTTTACTTTCAACTAAGTTGGATAGATTAGGTGGCCTTATTGATATCATTAAACTACTGAACCTATTTTGAGATATGAAAATTGAAATATTGATATGTTAGAATGCTCTCAAAATTCATCAAGCTGAAGCATGGGTGCTCGTGGCATTTTTCTAGCAAATTGTCTTATTTTTCCTTATTTGCCTTTTTTTTGGTTTAAATGAGAAATTTTGGAGTTTCCTTTGAAAATATTGATCTTTGCCTATTGTGCATGAAGTGAGCATGTAGAGTCTTTCCAGTATACTAGTCGGATCATTATTAGTTTAAGTCTGCTCAGTCTATGTTTCTTGCGTCGAGTGAAAAGGAAAGGTCTAGCTAGCAATTGTGTGCAATTTCAGCCGCCTTCTCATGCATGCTAAGTTCTTAGTTGCTTATAACATGTCATCATTCATGATTAAAACCAACAAACTAGTTTTTCTGTGATGTGAAGGCCATTGGGAATGTTTAAGTGGCTTAGGAGTTATTCGTGGAGTCTGAACTCACCATATCTACATGTATGATTAATTTGTTATTCCTCGATGCAAATTTGTTGTTGTGTAGTAGGTTGAGTTGAAAGCATGGCATCTCGTTTCTGATCTTCATCGTGTAACTCCTGAGAGTTTGTTTTTAGTTCTGTTGTTTGGTTGTTTCCTCCTAATCATCATGTTTGGAATTGTTTCTTCATGGAAAAAGTTTTCTGAATACATCTTTGATATGATACAATTTTCGTTCCCATAGGAACATTGGCGTGAGACATTGGATTTTTGAGCATGCAAGGTTGCTTTGTTAGTTGAGTAGGTGCAAATGTATCATTGATTTATGGGATTGTGGTCTTATTTATGGGATGATTAGTGGGAAGTCACGGCTCTTATCATATTTGGATCCACCATTTGTCTCTTTTATTATTATTATTTGTGTTCTTCTTTAGTTTATATATTCTAGATGCCTATTTTGATTTGGTTTGATAGTATTTGTTTGGATGATTGCTGAACTGTGGGAATGGGGAATGACCAAAGCCCATTAGTGATTAATTTGTTCACGTCCTTTGGGAATTGGGCTTGGTCTAATGCATGAAATAAGAAGTTTAAAAAGGAATGGGCATGAAATCTCTTTTAGTAAAAGTACTCCATAATCACGGGCATTTTCACATACAATCACCGAATTAGGGATTACACAACTTATAAAAACTCATAGCTTGCTTTAGGCGCGATTAACAAATCATGGTGACTATGGGTATGGTTCCCGTGGCATGGTCATGATACGTAAACCCCGATTCGCGTGTGCGTTTCACGTGACTCGATCATAACTTAAAACAATAATAAAATAAATATGTTGTAAATTGTGGGTACGTTTCACGTAGCGCGATTCGAAATGTGTACAAAAATAAGCGAGTGCGCGACATCGCGACTTGTTCAAACAAATTCCATAAATATTAAAAGCGGTTAAAAAGTTAAAAATGCACAATAGGTTTTAAACATGTATTAAATCAGATAATTAGGCCAAGTATTAATAGTTGAGCGACCGTGCTAAAACCACGGAACTCGGGAGTGCCTCACGCCTTCTCCCGGGTTAACAAAATTCCTTACCCGGTCTTCTGGTTTTCGCAGACTTTAAAACAGAGTCAAATTTCCTCGATTTGAGATTTAAAATAAACCGGTGACTTGAGACACCATAAATTATTTCAAGTGGCGACTCTGATTAAATAAATAATCTCATTTCGATTAATGTCATTTTAATTGGAAAAACTCCTTATCCCCTCGGAAAAGGGAGGTGTGACAAGGGGTTGTTGTGTAATAAGCGCATAATGTCCACTGGAACGCCCATGGATTTTATCATCAACTTGATGAATTAGTTTCAAGATATAAGGTTTTCCTATTATAACGGGTTGTTCAAAAGGATTCCCCGTTTCCATCAAATATTGTGCTTTTTCTTGGATATTCGGGCTCCAATAACACAATTCCGGGAGAAGTCGGTAGTTGGGCACTGGATCCTTCGGACCTCGAGAATGTTGATCAATTATGGACATGTTTAATTTTGTATCACCTATCTTGGGGAGATGTCAACATTTACACCCATATAATAATACTGGTATTGCAACTAAGATTTCCCCCTTATTAATGACAAGGAAAAAATGTAGAAAGATTAGACAGTACTGTTCCTGTTATTGCCCCAGAAGTTTCGCAATCCAGCTAATTCTGAACACGCTAGCCTTCTGTTTATATTACTAAGTCCATGACCTCTATAAATATATTGCACCGTCTTTGGCTCCGCTTCAACATAAAAAGACGTCTTTACTTAGAGCCATGAGAAGGAGAGTTTCTGATATTTTAGTATCCAATTGGAACTTTGTGTGGGCAATAAATATCACCATTTTCAAGTTGTTACAATTGCTAGGCTACTTCAATACAATATTAAAAGGGAGTTTATTCCCTTCACTCTTCTTCTCAGCAACTTTTAGTTTGTTGCTGCTGTTTCTTGCACTTGTTTTTGACATCGTTCGAAGCAGTTCAGATTCAAATGTTATTATTCACTTGAAGACCTGCAAAGGTTAGGACGTGGCATATGTTCGCATGCTTACCCAAATTGCTATATCGTTTATGATTGAAAAAATATAAACCCGATATTAATAATTATATATATATTCTCCACTTTTTATGGTTAAGAGTGTTGTTGTGAATGTACTTATGTATCATTTTAATTTATATGTTCCCAGCATACATAAATGTCTCTGTTTCTTGCATCGCCAGTTTTTTTGTCATTTTATTTTTATCCTTTTGACCCTGTAAGTTGTTAAAATGTAGTAGGAGTAAAATATAAACCGACATTATTTTTCAACCGTGCGTTCCCTTTAGCTTTGTATATTCGCTCTTCACTCGATTTCAACCAATCCCTTTAGCTTCCAGTGTTGTGGATACTAGATAATTTTTTGTTCTTGGTTCTTCTTTAACTTAGTGATATAAAACTTATGTACATCAACATGTGTAAAAGATTTTTCATATTATTATGTTATTTGTGTTAGGTGTTTGCCTTAATTTTTTTACCATATTTTATTTTCCTATCTCTTGAAGAAAATGACAACATATTTATCATAATTGGATTTTCCTTCTTGTAGCTAAATCTTCCATATTTGGCTAATCTTTTTTCTTGTAGGAAAATATATGGACTTCTATAAATTGAGGATCTTTCTTTCTTACTCAGCAGCATCCACGATGTAGCTATATAGGGTTTGTTAGTGTATCACTTGTGTTTGACTATTCGTGAGGTTGTTCTCTCGATATTTTGTACTCTCTTTTATATAGTGGATTGCTTATCTCCATCTGTGGACGTATGTCAAATTGACGGAACTACATTAAATGTTTGTGTTTTTTTTTGGTATATTTCTTTTTTATTATCTAATTTATCGTTCAAGATTTGATTTGATAGCTTCTGCATAACACCTGATTATTTCGATCCTAACAATTTGAAGACCAGGTACAATTATATGCATGTAAAACGGAACTACTTTATGTCTAGACACAGATGAACTGAAAGATACGCCTCAATTCACAGAGTAAAGTTTAATTTTCAGGCCATTTAGAAGTCAAAGTACATTTACATGTATAAAAGTGTGAGCTACTTACTTGGAAAAGAGGGTAAGTAACTCATGTAACCAAACAATCACATTAAAAATTCTTTATATTGTATATAATTAACTGATAAGAGTGAGTTGCTCTAGTGGTAAGCACCCTCCACTTCCAATTAAGAGGTTGTGAGTTTGAGTCACCCCAAGAGTAAGGTGGGGAGTTCTTGGAGGGAGGGAGCCGAGGATCTATTGGAAACAGTTTTTCTATCCCAGGGTAGGGGTAAAGTCTGCATACACACTACCCTCCCTAGACTCCACTAGCGGGATTATATTGGATTGTTGTTGTTGTATAATTGTATATAATTAAATCTTTTTGCATAGCAAGAAGTATATTTCATCCATCCCATTTATGGACACTGGCGGTTTAAAGAGTCAAATGGTAATTTATTTTACTATAATTTTTTTCGAACATATTTAACTCTAAAAATTCTCGATTTCTAGTAATTACTCTTTTATAGGTTCTTAAACTGTAAATTTTAACAAAAATTAAATGAATTAATATGTTTAGGGGTGTACAAACCGAACCGAAAAATCGCACCAACCCGAAAAGTCAAACCAAATCGATTAAAAAATCCGACTAGATTTGGTTTGATTTGGTTTGGTATTGAATAAAAAAATCCGAACCAAACCGACATATAAATATATAATTTTTATATATACTGTAATATGGTCAAATTTTCATGACATTTGTCATGACATAATATCCATTGTAACAAATTTGTGGTTCATGACATTTGCCATGACATAATATCCATTATAACAAATTTGTGGATCATGACATTTGCCATGACATAATATCCATTATTAGGCCAAGGATTTCTTGCTATAAATAGAGGAGTTTCTCCTCATTTGAAAACACACTAATTCAAGAGTTTTTCACTTTTGTCTTTCTTTCTCCTCCTTTATTTCATTATAGAGAATTTTGTAACAGAGTGAGTGTTGGGAAACACTTGTGTGAACCCTTTATTTGGAGTAATCTTGTGAGGTTATTCTCTTGGGGTATTTGGGATTAATTAAAGTATTTACTATAATTTTGAACTCTCTTTTATACTCTTATTGGTATAGTGAAATTGCTCCTCTGCGCTTGTGGACGTAGGTCACCTTGACCGAACCACGTTAAATGTGTGTCTTCTTTATATTCTTAAATTGCCGTTATTATCAACTTCCATTGTCTTTGTTATTGATATTATACCGTTGTTTGGCTAAATTCCGCACTACCCGGGTTCCCGATCCTAAGAAATTGGTATCAGAGCCAGATCTAACCGGGTTAGTTTAAATAGCCAAAATGACTCTAACAAAGTCTTATGTTGAGAAATTTGACCGAAGTGCACACTTCAGAATGTGACAATTAAAGATAGAAGCTATCCTAATTCAGGATGGCTTTGATTTGTCATTGCAAAGAAAGTAGAAGATGCCGGATAAAATGACTGACGAGGAGTTTGCCATCATAGACAAAAAGGCAAAAGCAGGTATTATCTTAAATCTTTCAAATGAGGTTTTGCGTGAAGTTGCATCAGAAAGCTCAGCCAAAGGCATATGGGAAAAGCTTAAAACCCTATATATGAAAAGAACAGTAGAAAACAGGCTTTACCTAAAGCAAAAACTCTACACTTTTCGTATGGCTGAAGGTACCTCTATACTTACTCATCTTGATACTTTTGATTCTCTTCTTATGGATTTAAGTAACATAGATGCTGAAATCAAAGATGAGGATCAAGCTGTGTTATTGCTTGTTTCCTTACCCCAGTCGTTTAAACATATAAGAGATACTATGCTTTATAGAAAGGATAATATCTCTTATAAAGATATCAAATCTATTTTGAAATCAAAAGAACAAATAGATAGAGATATTACTGGGAAAACTAGTGGGAACCAAGGGGAAGGCTTATTCATAAGAGGTAGATCCAATAAGAAAGATTCAAGTAGTGAGAAACCTAAATCAAGGTCAAAATCCAGATACAGAAATGTCATGTGCAAATATTGTCATAAGAAAGGTCACATTATTTCTGAATGCTTTAAATTGAAAAACAAAGAAAAGCATACAGAAAAGAAAAATGAGCACAAAAATACTGACACTGCCGAAGCAAGTGTAGCTGCTGATGAGACTGAGGGAACTATTTTTTTAGCAACTAATAATAGTTTCAAATCTAACAATGAGTGAATTTTAGATTCGGGTTGTTCTTATCATATGTGTCCCAGTCGGGATTTATTTACCACATATGAATCTATTGGAGGTGGAGTTGTCTTGATGGGCAACAATGCTGCCTGCAAAGTTATTGGAAAAGGTACAGTCCGAATCAAAATGCACGATGGTGTGGTGAGAACTCTCACCGATGTTAGACATGTTCCTGACTTGAAGAAAAATCTCATCTCTTTGGGCACTCTAGAATCTTTTGGGTGCAAGTACACAGGTGAAAGAGAGTTCTAAAAATTTCTCATGGTGCTCTTGTGATCATGAAAGCACGTAGATCTGGTACGTTGCATACTCTTTTGGGATCTACTGTTACAGGTGCTGCTGCAGTTTCAATATGAGATAAATCAAATTCTGACATCACCAAATTGTGGCATATGCGATTGGGGATTATGAGTGAAAAAGGTCTTTCCATCATCAATAAAAGAGGTCTCTTATGTGGCCAAAGTACCGAAAATATGGAGTTCTGTGAACATTGTGTGTTCGGGAAGCAGAAAAGAGTCAGCTTCAAATCTCCAGCGATTCATAAAACAAAAGGTACTTTAGATTATATTCATTCAGATCTTTGGGATCCTTCACGTACCCCATCAAAAGGTGGTGTCAGGTATATGTTAACTTTCATTGATAATTATTCAAGGAAAGTTTGGGTTTATTTCCTGAAAAATAAAAGTGAAGTTTTCTTAAATTTCAAACAATGAAAAATTTTGATTGAGAAACAAACAGGAAAACAGGTTAAGCGGCTTAGAACAGATAATGGCTTGGAATTTTATAATGATGAATTCAACGAATTTTGCAAGAATGACGAGCATCGTACTGTGAGAATGACACCTCAACAAAATGGTGTGGCAGAAAGGATGAATAGAACTCTTTTGGAAAGGGCTCATTGCATGATTTCAAATGCTGGGTTGACAAACGCCTTTTGGGCAGAAGCTATCTCTACAGCTTGTTATATTGTCAACCGAGCTCCTTCTGCACCTTTGAACTTTAAGACTCCAGAGGAAGTGTGGTCAGGTACTCCTTCTAATTATTTTGATTTAAAGATATTTGGTTGCCCTGCATACATGTATGTAAATGATGAAAAATTAGAGCCAAGGGCTAAAAAGTGCATTTTCTTTGGGTTTACATCTTGGGTGAAAGAATATCGACTATGGTATCCTGATCCCATGGCACCAAAATTTATAATTAGCAGAGATGTAACCTTTGATAAATCCTCTATGTTACATTCTAGAAAAGAGTCTTCTAGTTCTTGTGATACAGATAAAGGAAAGTATACACAGAACCAGGTGGAGATTGAGATTGGCATTCCTTCTGAGCCAACCTCATCAACTTTGGAGCAAAATATAGTTGAAACTCCTAAAGTTGAGACAGAAGCTGAAATTCCTGAAGTTGAGACTCCTAAAGTTGAACCAGAAGAAGAGGAGTATTCTATAGCCAAACATAGACCAAGAAGAGAAGGTAAACAACCATTAAGGTTTGGAGATTATGTTGCATTTGCTTTTTCAGTTGCACAGAAAACTGAAGAAATTGGAAAATCATCAAAATATTCAGAAGCAGTTTCTGGTGTTGACTCGGCCAAGTGGCTGATTGCAATGAATGAAGAAATTGAGTCTCTCCACAAGGATGGTACTTGGTCTCTTGTGAAGCCGCCATCAGAAAAAAGAATTGTTGGTTGTAAATGGGTTTTTTTTATAAAAAAGATGGCATTCCAGGGGTTGAAGATGCGAGGTATAAGGCACGATTAGTTACAAAGGGCTATAGTCAGGTACAAGGAGTTGATTTTAATGATATTTTCTCACCTGTTGTTAAACATAGCTCTATTCGTGTCTTGCTTGCCTTCGTTGCCATGTATGATTTGGAATTAGAACAACTTGATGTTAAGACAGCTTTCTTACATGGCGAACTTGAGGAACAAATATACATGCATCAACCCGAAGGATTTGAAATTGAAGGAAAAGAAGATCATGTTTGCTTGTTGAAGAAATCCTTGTACGGATTAAAGTAGTCTCCAAGACAATGTTGGGTCATGGTTATTCGAGAAGCATGTATGATAGTTATGTTTATTTTCGGAAGTTAAATAATGGTTCATTTGTGTACCTATTATTATATGTTGATGACATGCTCATTGCTGCTAAGGATTTAACAGAAATTCACAACTTGAAAAGTCAGCTGAAAAGTGAATTTGAGATGAAAGATTTGGGAGCAGCTAAGAAAATCCTTGGTATGGAGATCAAAAGAGATCCAAAAGCCAACAGGCTATTTCTGACCCAGAAGAAGTAGTTGGAGAAAGTTTTAGAGAGGTTTGGCATGAAAGATACTAAACTAGTTAGTACCCCTTTTGCTGCTCATTTTAAGTTATCAGCTTCTCAATCCCCGCAGTCAAAGGAAGAAGTGAGGTACATGGCACAGGTTCCTTATTTCAGTGCAGTCGGCAGTATTATATATGCAATGGTTTGTATACGTCCAGATATTTCACAAGCAGTGAGCGTGGTAAGGCGGTATATGTCTTGCCCTGGTAAAGCACATTCGCATGCTGTGAAATGGATTCTCAGATACTTGCGAGGT